CTTGTGCACCCTACACCCACTTCCTTCAATCAGTCACTTAATTATTAAGTAATTAATTCAATTAATTTTTTCACTGATTTTCATCCGGTTCGAAGGACCAACGGGCAGATATGGAAAATTTTCTAGGGTGCTTACCCGTATGTACCTCAACATTATATACATACCCGTAATTCATTGGGAGACAATCATATTGTTTACATAGTCACCCCGTGTAGACATGTGAGAAAACTTAACCACCCTGGTCGCACCAAGTGGTCCCCTCGACCTCACAATCTTATCCATATCTATCCCAGACCAGTATGGATTGGGTAGCACCCACAAGTACGGTGCTACTAATTAATTGTGGACTGTATAGATTATATTAGTTTAGCTGAATGAAGGGGAGGGGGGTAGGATACACCTGGATACATCCATCAAGGAAAACATTTATACATAATCCCACCACTTACCAGATGTTCTCTGGTGGTCACTTGATGTAGTTGGATCACTCATAACCTATCTAATTACAACATAACACAACTGGCCAGCATAAGTTTGTTATAACTAGAAGGGTTACTTAACTGTTTACCTGGAGTTTACCTGGAGAGAGTTTCGGGGGTCAACGCCCACTGTGGGTGATTGATACTCCTTATTTCTTCCATTCACCATCTCAGTTTCGATGTCCTGCTACACCGACACGGTTCTCATTCCGGCAGGACGAGGTATCCGTCGGTTTGTCCCGGTTAGAAGTCGTGATTCCATAAATCTCCATTATCCCCGGTACGAGAGTCACACGTTCACTCGGAGCAAGGCGCTCTATTTCACATCCCGCATTCTCTTAACTCAATGTTATTATCACTGATTACATTACCATTCACAAGACGATTTAACGTCTCATAACTATTATACAAATTAGAGGTCACTCCATTAAGATCTGAGGCCCCATGAGCGAGGATTAACACACGGGTATGTCCCCCGGACACACCCTGGCCGTGCCCTGACACCGGTCCTACTCTTATCACACCTTTTACCACTCTATTACCGTGGTCCCGTAAATCACGTTCCCTCACTCTCCACCAGGAACAGTTACGACACTTCTTATTATGAAATGAGGCCTATATTAATCCTTAGGCAGCCGTGAATGTCAATTTCGTGGTTCCATGCTTTCTCAGCTTCTTCACCACATTCAAAACAATCCGCGCCCCTCCCCCCCCCGCACATCCGCGCATGCGCAAAGGGAACTCTTGGTTCTACTCTTATTTTCAAATACATTTTTGACCCATATAGACACATTAAACACCTATTAGGCACTATAGTTTCGGAAAATTAAAAATTTTCCACACATGTACTGGTATACCTTGTACATGTACTGGTATACCTTGTACATGTACTTGTATACCCTTGTACATGTACTTGTATACCTTGTACATGTACTTGTATACCTTGAACATGTACTGGTATACCTTGTACATGTACTGGTATACCTTGTACATGTACTGGTATACCTTGTACATGTACTGGTATAACTTGTACATGTACTGGTATACCCTTTTACATGTACTGGTATACCTTGTACATGTACTGGTATACCTTGTGCATGTACTGGTATACCTTGTACATGTACTGGTATACCTTGTACATGTACTGGTATACCTTGTGCATGTACTGGTATACCTTGTGCATGTACTGGTATACCTTGTACATGTACTGGTATAACTTGTACATGTACTGGTATACCTTGTACATGTACTGGTATACCTTGTACATGTACTGGTATACCTTGTACATGTACTTGTACACCTTGTACATGTACTGGCATACCTTGCACATTTACTTGTATACCTTGTACATGTACTGGTATAACTTGTACATGTACTTGTATGCCTTGTACCTGTTTACCTGGAGAGAGTTCCGGGGGTCAACGCCCCCGCGGCCCGGTCTGTGACCAGGCCTCCTGGTGGATCAGAGCCTGATCAACCAGGCTGTTGCTGCTGGCTGCACGCAAACCAACGTACGAGCCACAGCCCGGCTGGTCAGGAATCGACTTTAGGTGCTTGTCCAGTGCCAGCTTGAAGACTGCCAGGGGTCTGTTGGTAATCCCCCTTATGTATGGTGGGAGGCAGTTGAACAGTCTCGGGCCCCTGACACTTATTGTATGGTCTCTTAACGTGCTAGTGACACCCCTGCTTTTCATTGGGGGGATGTTGCATCGTCTGCCAAGTCTTTTGCTTTCGTAGTGAGTGATTTTCGTGTGCAAGTTCGGTACTAGTCCCTCTAGGATATTCCAGGTGTATATAATCATGTATCTCTCCCGCCTGCGTTCCAGGGAATACAGGTTCAGGAACCGCAAGCGCTCCCAGTAATTGAGGTGTTTTATCTCCGTTATGCACGCCGTGAAAGTTCTCTGTACATTTTCTAGGTCAGCAATTTTTACCTGCCTTGAAAGGTGCTGTTAGTGTGCAGCAATATTCCAGCCTAGATAGAACAAGTGACCTGAAGAGCGTCATCGTGGGCTTGGCCTCCCTAGTTTTGAAGGTTCTCATTATCCATCCTGTCATTTTCTACCAGATGCGATTGATACAATGTTATGGTCCTTGAAGGTGAGATCCTCCGACATGATCACTCCCAGGTCTTTGACGTTGGTGTTTCGCTCTATTTTGTGGCCAGAATTTGTTTTGTACTCTGATGAAGATTTAATTTCCTCATGTTTACCATATCTGAGTAATTGAAATTTCTCATCGTTGAACTTCACATTGTTTTCTGCAGCCCACTGAAAGATTTGGTTGATGTCCGCCTGGAGCCTTGCAATGTCTGCAATGGAAGACATGTCATGCAGATTGGGGTGTCATCTGCAAAGGAAGACACGGTGCTGTGGCTGACATCCTTGTCTATGGTATAACTTGTACATGTACTGGTATACCTTGTACATGTACTTGAATACCTTGTACATGTACTTGTATACCTTGTACATGTACTTGTATATCTTGTACATGTACTTGAATACCTTGTACATGTACTTGTATACCTTGTACATGTACTTGAATACCTTGTACATGTATTTGTATACCTTGTACATGTATTTGAATACCTTGTACATGTATTTGAATACCTTGTACATGTACTTGAATACCTTGTACATGTACTTGTATACCTTGTACATGTACTGGTATACCTTGTACATGTACTTGTATACCTTGTGCATGTATTTGAATACCTTGTACATGTATTTGAATACCTTGTACATGTACTTGAATACCTTGTACATGTACTTGAATACCTTGTACATGTACTTGAATACCTTGTACATGTACTTGAATACCTTGTACATGTATTTGAATACCTTGTACATGTACTTGAATACCTTGTACATGTACTGGTATACCTTGTACATGTACCTGAATACCTTGTACATGTACTGGTATACCTTGTACATGTACTTGAATACCTTGTACATGTACTTGAATACCTTGTACATGTACTTGAATACCTTGTACATGTACTTGAATACCTTGTACATGTATTTGAATACCTTGTACATGTACTTGTATACCTTGTACATGTACTGGTATACCTTGTACATGTACTTGTATACCTTGTACTTGTATACCTTATACATATACTTGTGTACCTTGTTCATGTACTGGTATACCTTGTACATGTACTTGTATACCTTGTACATGTACTTGTATACCTTGTACATGTACTTGTATACCTTGTACATGTACTTGTATACCTTGTACATGTACTTGTATACCTTGTACATGCACTTGTATACCTTGTACATATACTTGTATACCTTGTACATGTACTTGTATACCTTGTACATGTACTTGTATACCTTGAAACATGTACTGGTATACCTTGTACATGTACTTGTATACCTTGTACATGTACTTGTATACCTTGTACATGTACTTGTATACCTTGTACATGTACTTGTATACCTTGTACATGTACTGGTATACCTTGTACATGTACTTGTATATCTTGTACATGTACTTGTATACCTTGTACATGTACTTGTATACCTTGTACATGTACTTGTATACCTTGTGCATGTACTGGTATACCTTGTACATGTACTTGTATAACTTGTACATGTACTTGTATACCTTGTACATATACTTGTATACCTTGTACATGTACTGGTATACCTTGTACATGTACTTGTATACCTTGTACATGTACTTGTATACCTTGTACATGTACTGGTATAACTTGTACATGTACTTGTATACCTTGTACATGTACTGGTATACCTTGTACATGTACTTGTATACTTTGTACATGTACTGGTATACCTTGTACATGTACTGGTATACCTTGTACATGTACTGGTATACCTCGTACATGTACTAGTATACCTTGTACATGTACTGGTATACCTTGTACATGTACTGGTATACCTTGTACATGTACTGGTATACCTTGTACATGTACTTGTATACCTTGTACATGTACTGGTATACCTTGTACATGTACTGGTATACCTTGTACATGTACTGGTATACCTTGTACATGTACTTGTATACCTTGTACATGTACTGGTATACCTTGTACATGTACATGTATAACTTGTATATGTACTGGTATACCTTGTACATGTACTGGTATACCTTGTACATGTACTGGTATACCTCGTACATGTACTAGTATACCTTGTACATGTACTGGTATACCTTGTACATGTACTGGTATACCTTGTACATGTACTGGTATACCTTGTACATGTACTTGTATACCTTGTACATGTACTGGTAAAACCTTGTACATGTACATTTTATAACTTGTACATGTACTGGTATACCTTGTACATGTACTGTTATACCTTGTACATGTACATGTATAACTTGTACATGTACTGGTATACCTTGTACATGTACTGGTATACCTTGTACATGTACTGGTAGAAATAAAAGATATTATTATGAAGTGAAACAGTCTGGGTATCGAACCCGGGTCCCTCAGATGTAAACCCAACGCGTTATGGGACAGTGTCCTTGTTCACAGTTTATGTCACCATTGTACCACTAATCTTCTCAATATTTAACTGAAGAAGTCACTGACTGGAGGAACTTTTCCTCAGTGAAGATTCCTTAATCTTACAAATTTTCTCATTCTTCAACTTGTCGGGTTTTTTTTTAAACCATTTCCATTACAACCGAGGTCATTACCATAGGTTTGATCTAAGGGAAAGACAGCCCCAACTCCTTGGATCAAGAACCCTTCACAGGGATCAACGCACCGCCCCTTGAAAGGCGTAAAAGAAAAAAAAATCCCAAGATTCCTCCCGGTCGGCCATAATGACCTGGTAAGACCCCACCCAGACATTACTTTCACTCACAGGTACGTTATTTAACCTTTATTTACCACTCACTCTCATGATATATTAAGTTTTATTTCTCAGGTGACTGAAATGTGTCTCACTGAGAGTTAAATTTTGTGTTAATACAGGAAATGAGTGTTTTAAGTGTCAACGTCCTGAGGTGAACGTCGTCTGCCGTACAAACGTCAGACGCAGCTGACGCAGCTATTTAATTAATTATATAAGATAAACTATATTTCTGTAGGTTAGGTTCGTCAGGAGACAGCACAAGTGTTTCCTGACGTGAGTCTTACATGATGACTTGCTGTTGGAGCTTTTGGTCATCTGACCGAGGCCTTCCGCTGGCTTACCACTCCACCCCTTTAAAAATTAAGGTCTTGAGTAGATTATATTTCTACATGATACAATGTCTGTACAAAGGTGACTGACATTTACGTGTGCATGTAGAAAGCCCCATAATATGTAGAAAAGATGCCGTGCTCCTTCCTTAGGTGAATGTGACCTGACCTGACTAGGTTATGGCGTTGGCGTAAGCCGGTAGGAGACTTGCACCTGCCTCGCATGGGCCAGTAGGCCTGCTGCAGTGTTCCTTCTTTCTTATGTTCTTATTTCGGGCAAACAAAAGATTAATAAGACAGTAACAAATTTATAAGTTTACTGAGGCACAGATACACATAAATACCTAAATAAATTATCATACATAAATTATCATACATAACAACTTATGTCTAAATTATTTAGAATAACCCAAAAAAGTCAGTAACTTATTTCCATTGTGGACCTTGTAATATCTTATTAAACTTTATACTAGCAGTGCTGTATAATCCTACGGGTTTAGCGCTCCACGTGATTATAATAATAGTATACTAGCAGTAAGGTACACTGAGTTGCTTATATTAACATTAAAGAGAGAATCAGATCATATTAATAGGTATATGTCCCCTCAAGGAAGGTTCCTTGATGCTGGTGAGGGGCTCTTGATCTAGGGAACTGGATTTGTGCTCCAGTTCCCTGAATTAAACCTACCTTCCATTCCTCCCCCACAGGCGCTGTACAATCCTACGGGTTTAGCGCTTCCCCTGATAATAAATAATAATAGGTACATGTATATAATTTTATTTAGGTACAGGTACACATATATGTAGTTACACAAATTATTATACATGGTAACATGTGTAAATTACCTAGGATAACCCAAAAAAGTCAATGTAATTCTTTTCAAGGGAAGTGCCTTGATGCCAGTAGATTATTATTATTATAATCAAGGGGGAAGCGCTAAACCCGGAGGATTATACAGCGCCTGGGGGGGGGATGTGGAAGGCATTCAGGCTTAATTCGGGGAACTGGAGCACAGATCCAATTCCCTAAATCAAGAGCCCCTCACCAACATCAAGGAACCTTCCTTGAGGGATGATGCCAGTAGAGAGCTCTTCATCCTAGAAATTAGAGCTGCCCTCCCCTTCCTATGGAAATAAGTCACATTTGAGGTGTTTTACAGTAAACAGAAGTACAATTAACAAGGACCTCAATAGAAATGTCACTTTGACTTCTCTGGGTTATCCTAGATAATTTACACGTTACTATACTAGATGATAATTAGATTAATTATATTTATGTGTACCTATACCTAAATAAGTTTACTAACAAAACTGCATGTGATACTTTATTGACCTAACTGAATTATTTTAGGTTAAGTCTATATAATATTGTACAATGGTTGTTATACTGTACTATTGTTCTACAGAACATGTCCAGAAATTTTCTTATATTCTTTCTAATATACAGGGAAATGTGCCCACACATAAATATGAGGTAATAACTATACCTGGTTTTACAGAGATGGAGGTACCACATAATGCAGCGGTATTCACCTCTCAACCACAAAGACCTTAGTCTGGTTCTAGTCAGGCAGACTTATGGGTAAGTTTCCTAACACCTTCTCTCCTTGTTATCTAGCAGTATTAACTATTGTGGGTTGCATCATGGGGAAGTACCTAAAAATGTTCTTAAAGAAACCACCTTTCTTGTCATTTCCATACATTATCCTGTGTTATTAACACTGTGTTTACTAATCTTCTTCAACAAACCCTCACTTGAGATTACGTTTCAGACTACATTTTAGTAAGATAGAATACTGTTCGGATCATTACTTTAGGTCTGTTCATAAGAAAGCACTATACGTACTTGTATGAGTTATATATTGCTGTTGAGGAGGAAATATAAGTATTCTGTAGTGTTAGTAAAGATTATAGAGTTAACCCATTGTTTAAAGTAAAATAATATTTATTTTCTGTGGCATTATGTACATTTTGTTGTATGTTTTTTTTGTTTGCATTTAAAAGCCCCATTGTTATGCAATGCATTTTTGAGTAGACTTAAGAATTTTGTCATAATTTTTGATATGTAATAGAATACCACAAAAGTTTTATATTTACGTAATAAAAATTTATTCTTTTCTACATTTTAATATATCACATTTTCTATCATGTTTTAAGTATATATACTTGAAAAGTGATAATAAGACACTTCTGGGGATTGCTCTTCATGTTAAGTGACTGCAACTGTTGTACTTGTAGGGAGTCCTGAATATCTATAAGTTTAATTAATTTAAGCCATATACAGTGGACCCCCGTTTTACGATCAGCTCCTAATGCGACCAATTATGTAAGTGTATTTATGTAAGTGCGTTTGTACGTGTAAGTTTGGGGGTATGAAATGGACTAATCTAATTCACAATATTCCTTATGGGAACAAATTCATTCAGTAATGGCACCTGAACATACTTCTGGAATGAAATAATATCGTAAGCTGGGGGTCCACTGTATTTCAAGGAAATATGTTTTCATGGAAGATCACTTGATAATAAATCGTTACTCTGTCTCAGTGTTTAACTAAAGAATTACCTTTCAGAGAAATAATTGAAGACAATGAATCCACAGCTTGTGTTTAGCACTAGCCAGATATTCACAAAATGTTATATACCAGAAAGAAAGAATTCACCTGTGAACATTGTGGAAAGGTTTTCTCTCAGAAATGCAGGTTAAATACTCATATGCTAGTGCACAATGGGGAAAAGAATTTTAAGTGTACATTGTGTGACAAGCAGTTTACTCAGAAGGGGCACCTTCAAACCCACTTGCTTCAACATAGTGGTGAAAAAAAGTTCTCATGTGAAGTTTGTGGCAAACTCTTTTCTCAGAAGTCTCACGTAGTTGTCCATATGACTGTACACACTGGAGAAAAGAAGTTTTGTTGTAATACATGTGGTAAATTTTTTGCTCAGAGCAGTGGGCTTAGAAAACACAGCCTCTCCCACAGTGGAGAGAAGCGCTTTAAATGTGATTTATGTGGTAAATTGTATGCTCAAAAGTGGATTCTCAGAAAACATGCCATTGTTCATCAAGCCGAGAAAAGGTTCAAGTGTGGCGAGTGTGGCAAGCAGTTTGGCTTGAAGTTCAGTTTAGAAAAACATTTAAAAGTTCACAGTAGTGTGAAGGAGTTAATCTGTGAGGTCTGTGGCCAAGAATTCACAGAAAAGAAAGGCCTTACTAAACACATGATTATTCACAGGGGCGGACATACTTGCGAGGAATGTGGAAAATTATTTTCATGTAAAAAGTCTCTCAGTACACACATAGCAGCACATAATGGAATAAAAAGGTTTAAATGTGAGTATTGTAGCAAACTCTTCACTCAGAAAAACAATCTTAGAAAACATATACTTACACACACGCCCAAAAAAAAATTTAGATGCGAAACATGTGATAAAGTCTTTTCCCAGAAGTTTAATCTTTATAAGCACATAAATCTGCACATGAGAGAAAAAAAATTTAACTGTGAAGAATGTGGCAAACTATTTTTTAACAAACGCAATCTCACGACCCACTTGCAAATCCACAATGGAAAAACATTTAGTTGTGAAAAATGCAGTAAACAATTTTCTCAAAAGAAGAATTTGAAATCGCATATGCTTGTCCACACCAGAGTGTACAAGTTTGGATGTGAAGTATGTGGTAGAACATTTAAATGGAAAAGAAACCTTATCAGGCATGTTCTGGTGCACAAGGGTAGCATACCTGATAATATCCTTCAGCATCCCTCACTAGAATACCCAACACAGCAGACTGAAGGTCACAAGGAAGTACTGATTGATATAAACAGTCTTGTGATGAGTAGTACTGAGAGGAGCCTTTCTTAATATGGAAACAGTTGCAGAGGTTTAACAACTTAAGAGAATCAGTAATTATATAAGGTTAATTGCATTGCAGAAAGTTTGGTTAACATGGTATACACATTATGAGGATATTCATCCTTTGTGAGGTGCTATTAATATTGTGGCAGGCTCCACATACTACAAAATTGTGATGATTAATATATTCACAGGCTGTTCTAAACCCAAAACAGTGCTGTATGACCCTTCTGGGTTTAGTGCTTAGTTATGATTATAATAATAATCTAAACTCATAGAGGTCATATAGTGCCGGGGGAATGCGAGGTAATCGGGTTTGATCCAAGGAAGTTAGCTCCAGTTGCTTAGTTCAAGAGCTTCTTACCAACATCAAGGCACCTATACTGGAGGATCTGTATTATGTGTAATGTTAATATTACTGAAGGCATCAGCTGCCAAAAGTATAATTCTGTTCAATTCTGTGTACTGTACAGAGGCAGTGGTATTGCAGACTATCTGACTAGATGACTTTTTTTCATCTGCAGGTTTTCCTTACACATTGTACAGCTGTCAAATGAATGATAATGATTGTTTCCTTCTTTGTATCACTGGCTCTGGACATTTGGCTGGCAGACACTTTGCCAATGGACATTTCACCGAAGGACATTTAACCAAACAGACATTTCACCGAAGGACATTTAACCAAACAGACATTTCACCGACAAACATTTCGTCAAGTGGACATACGGCTGAACTGGCATTCATCACCTTACCCTACCTTACCTAATTATCCGTTCTGTCTATTGTGCATTCGGCCAAATGGCTCTTGGCACAGTGTCCATTCAGCCAATTATCCTTTGGTCAAATGTCTGTTGGCCAAGTGTCAGTCATCTGTCTGGCCACTGTATCACCCTAACTTGGTTTGGGACAGCTAGTGTAACACCCAAAAATGGTAAAACTTCAATATTTACACGTTTACAATACTTTTTACACTCAGAAACCTACTTGTGTAACAGATACACCAAGACATACAGTACTAGTTTATTTACAGTGTTTATAGAGATCAGACTATCAGTCTATTCAAATTTGTTTTACTAAGTACAGTATTTACAGATTAATCCATACCTGGAGTTTACCTGGAGAGAGTTCCGGGGGTCAACGCCCCCGCGGCCCGGTCTGTGACCAGGCCTCATAATTAATAGGGATTAATTTGAGTGTTTTTAGGGATTAATTTGAGTGTTTTTAGGGATTAATCCATAGAATTAATAGTAATTTGTATACTTTACAGTTTTTAAGGAATTAGTCTATACAGCCTCACTTCACTTAACGATGGAGTTCCAGTCCTAAGACCACATCAGTAAACAAATTCATCGCTAAACAAGGAGCATACTATAATGGTGGTGGGTTTGTGTCAACCATCTTCGATATTGTTTTAATGTCACCTTTGTACCATTTATAATATTTATAATATATTTTTAAATGTTTATACAGTAGTGTACTGTATATTGTAATAAACAGAATAGAGGAAATCAGCTCTAATATACATTATTAAGGTATTCAACTGGTCAGAGAGCCTGTCGTAAGTCCAAGTCATCAGTAAACAAGTACAGTGGACCCCCGGTTTACAATCATCTCCCAATGCGACCAATTATGTAAGTGCATTTGTATGTGTATGTTTGGGGGTCTGAAATGGACTAATCTAATTCACAATATTCCTTATGGAAACAAATTCGGTCAGTACTGGCACCTGAACATACTTCTGGAATGAAATAATATCGTAAACTGGGGGTCCACTACATACATCACTAAGTGAGGAGATGCTGTATATTGTTGAGATATTTTTTTCAAAGCTGGAAAGTTTAGATTCTAGCAGTATCCAAAACAAGGCATATCTGGTTTATAACTAAGGTATCAGTTGAGAGAATGATATTAAAATGAGCATCTACTGTATGATTGGATTTTTTATTTCTAATAAAATAAGATTTTGCTTGATTTTTTCCTTAAAACCTAATTGAAACAGCAAGTTTGATTAAAATTATAATTTACATATTTCTACACTAAAAAATATATTAATTTAGAGTAAAATTTCCTAATCTTATAGATATTAATGTATTTTTTCATTTATATTTAAAAAAAATTTCCCATGGGTAACGGAAATCTATGAGAAAATGTGATTTGCTCTAGAAATGTTATTTTTCTGAATGAAAGTTATTTATTAAATAAAGATTCCCTAGCTGTACTTATAAAACTGCTGTTACATTATGTCATAATGTATATTATGTGAAGAATTATATTATGTATACAATACTATACATTATGAACTTGTAAAATTATGTTCTGCAGGTGCTTCTTCATTAAATAAAGTGAATATCTCATGAAGATGGTATTCTTCATAGCCTTAGTATTGCTTTTTATGGTGAAGATTCCTTCCCCGTGTGGAACTGCAATTGCTAATGTAAACAAATTATACTGTATTATGGAAATATAAACACATAAGCAGTATAATGTGATCCTTTACTGAAAATGTTTTGCCCACATAGCACGCTTCATCAAGTCACAAACAGATCTGTTTGTGACTTGATAAAGTGCACTGTGTGGGCAAAACGTCAATCAAGGATCACATTACATATAGTACTGCTTATGTGTTTATGTTTCCAGTGTGTCGGTATTTTATATAATTTATTTCTATATTACCTAGAGAGATTTCCAGGGGTCAATGCCCCTGTGGCCCGGTCTGTGACCAGTCCTCCTGGTGGATCAGGGCCTGATCAACTAGGATGTTACTGCTGGCCACATGCAATCCAATGTATGAACCACAGCCCGGCTGGTCAGGTACCGACTTTAGGTGCCTGTGCAGTGCCTGCTTGAAGACTGCCAGGGGTCTATTGGTAATCCCCTTTATGTATGCTGGGAGGCAGTTGAAGTCTTGGGCCCCTGACACTTACTGTGTTGTCTCTTAACGTGCTAGTAGCACCCCCACTTTTCATTGGGGGGATGTTGCATCGTCTGCCAAGTCTTTTGCTTTCGTAGGGAGTGATTTTTCGTGTGCAAGTTTGATACTAATCCCTCTAGGATTTTCCAAGTGTATATAATCATGTATCTCTCCCGCCTGTGTTCCAGGGAATACAGGTTTAGGAACTTCAAGTGTTCCCAGTAATTGAGGTGTTTTATCACAGTTATGCGCACCGTGAAGGTTCTCTGTACATTTTCTAGGTCAGCAATTTCACCTGCCTTGAAAGGTCTGTTAGTGGCAGCAAATTCCACCCTAATAACAAGTGACCGAAGAGCAAAAACTGGCTTTCCCTTAGTTTGAAGGTTCTATTACCACCCCTGTCATTTTTCCTCAGCAGATTTTTGTTAAGATACATAAAAAAAAAAAAATTTGATTTGTACAACTGTAAAAAAAAAAAAAATGTAATAAATCTGAAAAATTCCCTTGAAAACCTTCCTATCCACTCATAATTTAGTAAAATGTGAATTATAATAATAAGAAAGTTTGGTTTTTTTTTTGAAAGCCCTTATATAATTCCTGGGCAAGCAAATTTAATTAAGGATAAATGGAATTTGGTACGGTACCATAAGTACAATAACATAAAAAACCTGGCCCAAAAAAAGTAGAAAACCAAGAGGATAATCTGGAAAAGGTTTTAATCCCCCAATTTCCCCAAAAACCCCAGGTTTTTTAAAAAAATTTTTTTTTTTTTTCCCTTTTTTTTTTTTTTTTATTTTTTTTTTTTTAAATTTTAAAAACATGAGTTTTCCAAGGGGGCAAATTTACTCATTTCACCTCACATCTTTTTGCTTAACTTTACATACCCACACAATTCTTCAGTTTTTTTATACCCCTCCACTGGTTCATATAATTTCCTTATTCTTTTTCCACCTTTCCAACACCACTTATGCTATTCAAGGGGCCAATATTATGCCACAATTAAAATTTAAAAAAAAAAAAAATTAAAATTTTTTTTTATTTCATTGTCAAGCTAACAATCTTGGTTTACCGGTTATAAAAATTAATTACAAAGGCGGCCATAGGGGTATAGTTGGTAACGAAACCACCCGGGGGAATTCTACCGTCCTCCCAAATGCGGAAACAAAAACCTGAACTGTTTTGCAGAGGGTGATTGCTGGTTTCTTTTTTTTTTCTCATAAACCCTAAATAACAGGGTATCTTGCTACTCCTACACACTTGGTCACACTTCACAGACACCACAGCATATATAATATACAACATCTGGGTTTTTCCTCCTTTTTCTAAATAGCTCTTTTTTCTTTTTTATTTTTTCTTTTGTCCATGGGGGAATGAAAAAAAAATCTTCCTCCGAAAAAGCCAGCGTGTCGATGAGGCGACAAAAATGCCGGAGCAAGGGCAGAAACCCCTTCCCGTAACAATTACAAAAAAAGAGAAAAAAAAAACTTTATAAAACTGGTTGCTTAAAATGTGCGGGATTAGGCGGATACAAAAAAAGATGATTGCTGATGTTAGAATAAAAGAATTTGGGTTTCCTGGCCCTAACGAAACAAAGCGAAAGGGGGTAGGAAAGTTTCAGGGGGGGAAATAAAAGGGATTTTAAAACTGGATATCTAGAGAGTTAAGCAAAGAAGGGGTCAGTAATGTTAAATGATCATTATGGAAGGAAAAAGAGAATATGAATGTGTAAAAATTTTAAGAATTAGTGGATAAAGAAAGGTTGGATGCGAGAAGGGGCATAATAAGCTGTATCACCGAGAAAAGGGAAAGCAGAGGAAGAAGAGATTTTTTGGGGGATTTTAATAATGAAGGAGCCCTTTTAACCAATGAGAGATAATTTGGGAGGGGACTTTAAGCAAAGTAGAAAACTTTTAGAGGGGTGGGTGGTAAGTTTGGGGGGCCAGGGGGTAAATGAAAAGGGACCCTTTTATTGAACTTTGTATAGAAAGGGGTTTTGTTAAGGTAAACATATTTTAAAAAAAAAAAAAGATAAAAATTATACACATAATGTAGGCGAAATGACAGTAGTTTGTTGGATTTGTTTGGGAAAAAAAGACTGTTGATAGACCAGGTGTACATGTTTTTATAAAGGGGGCCCCAGAAACAATCACTTTTTAGTTTTTTGCTACACAGAGTAAAAGGAAAAGGGATACAAGGGGAAAAGAAGCTCAGGGGGGAAAAGAGGGGAAGGTTTTTAAAAATAAAAAAGGCAGTTTTGGGTAAGATAAAAACGCTTTTGGGGGATAGATGGGGGTAAGAGAGCATAGGGAAAGGGGGCGAAAGGGATGGGGGATTTAAAAAAAATTTGTTAGGGTTTTAGCAGAAGTTTTTTGGTTTCAGGAAAGTGGGTCGGGGGAAAGGAGCGATTGGGGAATATGATGTAAAGGAAAAATAAGGGAAAAAGTTACTATGAGAAGTTTTTACAAAGTAGAATGATGCAAAGGGGGGAAGGTATAGGAGAAAAAGAGAGAAGTTAAGAGAGTGGGAAGCAAGTAAAAAAGACAAATAGAGAGTGGGTGAGATGTTATCCAAATTTTTGTTGAAAATAAGAAAAAATTTTTTGGGGTGAGTAACAAGTTAAGAAAGCCTAGAGAACAAATGGATTTGTCAGTTAAAAATAGGAGAGGAAGTTATTAAATGGAGAGGTAGAGGTATTGGGAAGATGGAAGGAATATTTTGAGGAATTGTTAAATGTTGATGAAGATAAGGAAGCTGTGATTTCGTGTATAGGGCAAGGAGGAATAACATCTTGTAGAGTGAGGAAGAGCCATTTGTGAGTGTGGGGGAAGTTCGTGAGGCAGTAGGTAAAATGAAAGGGGGTAAGGCAGCCGGGATTGATGGGATAAAGATAGAAATGTTTAAAAGCAGGTGGGGATATAGTTTTGGAGTGGTTGGTTGCAATTATTTAATAAATGTATGGAAGAGGGTAAGGTACCTAGGGATTGGCAGAGAGCATGCATAGTTCCTTTGTATAAAGGCAAAGGGATAAAAGAGAGTGCAAAAATTATAGGGGATAAGTCTGTTGAGTGTACCTGGTAAAGTGTATGGTAGAGTTATAATTGAAAGAATTAAGAGTAAGACGGAGAATAGGATAGCAGATGAACAAGGAGGCTTTAGGAAAGGTATGGGTGTGTGTGGACCAGGTGTTTTACAGTGAAACATATAAGTGAACAGTATTTAGATAAGGCTAAAGAGGTCTTTGTGGCATTTATGGATTTGGAAAAGGCGTATGACAGGGTGGATAGGGGGCAATGTGGCAGATGTTGCAAGTGTATGGTGTAGGAGGTAGGTTACTGAAAGCAGTGAAGAGTTTTTACGAGGATAGTGAGGCTCAAGTTGAGTATGTAGGAAAGAGGAAATTTTTTCCCAGTAAAAGTAGCCTAGACAAGGATGTGTGATGTCACCGTGGTTGTTTAATATATTTATAGATGGGGTTGTAAGAGAAGTAAATGCGAGGGTCTTGGCAAGAGGCGTGGAGTTAAAAGATAAAGAATCACACACAAAGTGGGAGTGTCACAGCTGCTCTTTGCCGATGACACTGTGCTCTTGGGAGATTCTGAAGAGAAGTTGCAGAGATTGGTGGATGAATTTGGTAGGGTGTGCAAAAGAAGAAATTAAAGGTGAAAACGGGAAAGAGAAAGGTTATGAGGATAACAAAAAGTTTTGGGTGATGAAAGATTGAAAAACAGATTGGAGGGAGAGAGAAGGAGGGGTGGAACGTTTTCCGATATTTGGGAGGGGAACGTGTCAGCGGTTTGGGCCCCTATGAAAGTGGGGTAAAACCCATAAAATTTGGGAATGAGGGAAAAAGAGTGATTTTTTCCTTAGAATTGGGGAGAAAAAAATTTTTTGCCCTTTTGGAGGCAAAGGGGGGGAAAGAAAGGGAAGTTATTTTTAAAAACCAAACCAATTTTATATGGGTGTAACCCGGGGGTGATGAATGTTTGCAGCGAGGAAAAGGGCTGGAGGCAGTGGAGATGCCCATGCCCTGGGGGCCAATGTGGGGTGTGAATAAAATGCAGAGAATTCTGTTTGGAAGTTAGGAGGGGGTGCGGGGAAATTTCCCAAAAAACTTTTTGCCCCGGGGGTTTAGGAAGGGTTTGGGTTTGGGGTGGTTGGGGTCATGTAAGAGAAGGAGCGAAACAAATAAATTCAAGAGTATATCAGCCCTGTAGTGGAAGGAAAGGGGGGGTTGGGGGGCCCGGCCCTGGGAAAGGGGTTTGGGGAAAGGGAGGGGGTAAAGGGGGTTTTGGTGCGAGGGGTTTGGGTTTTCCAGCAGGCATGCTGGGGGTTTTTTAAATGGGATTGAAGGGAACAAATGGTTTTAATACTTGACGGCTTTTTGGAGTGTGAGCAAAGTAACTTTTTATGAGGGATTCGGGGAAAACCCGGGCAGGCCGGATTTTGATTTCCTGGAATGGGAATACAGTGCCTGCACCGAAGGGGGGTTTTAAAATTTTTCAGTTTAAAAACTGAAAGTGAAAAAGCACCCTTCGGGAAAAACCCGTGTTTGGAGTGAATATGGTGAAAGTTTTTTTTTTTTTCGGGCCACCCGGGCCTTGGTAAAAACCCCGGCCGGGTGGGAAAATAAAAAAAAAAATAATAATACTAATTCAAACTCTATAATAATGGGCAGGGACAGAAACTTTTTAAAACATACATTTTTAGATAAATACAAAATTTAAAGATACATACTAGCTGGGGGCACAAAATTTAAGAAAATTTTTAATTTTAGATACATACAGTGGAAAAATTTTCTGAGGGGGATCTTTTTTAGTGTACGGGTCACTCTCTTATAATCTATATATAGTCATTTTTTTTGTAAAAACAATTGAAAAAAAATCAAAAAACCTAAAAAGGGCACATGAAAAGGTTTTTTTCCCCCAGGGGAACCCATTTAGTATTTCCCCGGGAGAATTTCCCGGGGGGTTAAAACCCCCCCCGGGGGCCCCCCCTGGGGACCATGGTAGCTCCAATTATCGGGAACATAACCCCTTTTAACTGGTTTTACTTGGGTTCCCCCCCATCACGGGTTTAAATTATTAAGGGGTTTTAATTTTTTGCAGTTTTATAAATGTAGTTGGAAACCCTTTTGGCAAGCAGTGATGGAGTGAAGATGATGAAAAATTTTTTTTTTTTTCGACCACCCGGCCTTGGGGGGGAAAGGGCCCGATTTTTTAACCAAAAAAATAAAAAAATTACGGTAAAAATTTTTAAGATAAAATTTTAATATAACCAATGAAGAATAACATGCCCCAAAAGAATTTTTTTATAGCCTAAAGGGGAGGTTCCATGAGCTTTTGATCCAAGGGAAACTGATTTTTCCCCCGGGCCCCCCCCTTTGGGAAATCGAACCTATTATTTCCCTTTTCCCCGGACATATTTTTTGAGTTTTGCGTTCCCCTAAATATAAATCAAAAATAAAAACATGGAAGACCCAAAAACAATCAAAAGTTTAAACACTAAACCCAAAAAGGGTCATACAGGTTGGGCCCCTTACAGCTCCTGGGGAAAAGGGGGTTTTTAGGGGGCCCTAAAAACCCCAAAAAAATTTACAGTTTCATGGGGGGGATTTAAGGGGATTTAGGGTTAAATTTAGGAAAAATGAGTGCAATTTCCCAAACCCTAGATCAAGAGCCCCCCCCACCAGCATCAAAAGGGAAATTTTCCCAAAGAGTGTGGATAAAAGGGGAAACAAATTCCGGTTTTAAAAAGGAAATTTGGGGCAATTTTTCCCAAATTTCCCCAAAACAAGAGCCCTTCAAAAAAGCTCTAATTTATAAATTTTAAAACAATGGGTTTCGCTAAAACCCTAGAATTATAGGCCTGTGCGGGGGGATGAAAGGTATTTTAGACCCCAAATGAGGGGGAAAATGGAGCACAGGGTTTCCCAAATTTCCCCCAAACAAAGCCCCTCACCAACATCAAGGAACCTCCCTTGAGCGGTACCCTTGATGTAACCCTTGAATAAAAGTATACTACAAACAATAATAATGCGGAGTTTTGATTTTTTATTATCAAAATTTTTATAATCAAAACTAACCCCTAAAACCCATCAGGTTTATACAGCGAAAAAAAAAGGGTTCAGAGCTTATTATCAAAAAAAAGCCCCAAAAACCCCCAGGGGCCAAAAGCACCTGGGGACTAGAAAAAACAATAAGTTTTAATACAAAAAGAATAACAAACATTTCCTTGTTCAAGAGCCCCTCCACCACATTTTACCTTTAAAGGAAGGGCAGTTTTTTTATTTTTTGGGTTTTAGGGGCCCCCACAAAAAAAGTTTTAAATTTTCCCTCACTTTTAATTTATTTTTTGGGGATATGTACACATAAATATTTTTATAAAAAATTTTAGGTTATTACAATTTTTTACATAATAACATATTTGTAAATTACCTAGGATAAAACCAGGGAAAAAAATCCCGTGACATTCCATTTTTTGGGCTGAAAAGGGCCTAAAGTAAAGGACCCCAAAAGGAAATAAATCAATGACTTTTTTTTGGGTTTTTTTCCCGGGGTTTTGGAAAAACATATGTTTCTAAATTTTGATAAACTATGTATTTCTGTAATATTTTATACCTGAATAAACTTAAATTAAGAGGACCCCCCCCAAAATAGTAAGTTCTTTTGGTATGCCTTGACATTTATTATCATACAACAGCATAAAGTAGAGTTTAGAAATTTTTCCATCAAATTAGAGAACTTTGAAAAAATCCAAAAAAAAATCGGACAAAATTATTTATTTCCATTGCAGTCCTTCAAGGGACCTTGATATCAGTGAAGGGCTCTTGATCCAAAAAATTGCCAGTATCCTCCCCTTCCTTGGATCGAATCCCATTCCCCTGATCCATATACCCTTGTGAATTTGGCTTTTTCCCCTTTAAAAATAATAATAAACATACAAAATTAAAAACCCAATCACGACTTTTTTTTCCCACATTCATATGCAGCACACAAAAACGGAATTTTCCCCAACGAGTAATATACCTCAAAACTCTGATCAAATTGTAATATCAGCTCTTCAAACGCACGCTGATTATACGGAATTTAATATAAAAATTATTCCTGAAGCTGTAGCTACATATATAAGTAAAGTTATAGGAGAAATGAGGCAAAATGCTGGACACGTCAGCTTGTTGACAAGAATCAGAGTGATCCCTCACCCACGGGGACAACAAGTCACCATCTCTTTTAACTCCTCTACAAATACCTCAATTAATTTCCTTAAAATTTAAACTGAGGCCCTGATCCATTGTTATGGTGAGATATCCTTGTCATAGCTACATTATCTTGGTGTTATAAGAGAGAAATAGTGAGAGATATGGTCACCTTGTGATGGGTCAACTTGTAGCCATCAACCCGATGCTTAAATTTATCTTGATTTAGGCCCCTTTAAGGGGCTTTTCCCTTACTGGGAAGGGCTCTTGTCTAGGGGTTAGACTGTGACCAGTTTCTGATTGACCCTGAAAACCTTTCCCTCACCCCCCCCCTACATGCGCTATAAATCCTCGGATTTTGCGCTCCCATGATCATAATGTTTATTTTAATTTTTAAAAGCAGCTTTTACCTTGTTTATTTTTTTCATTGTTGTGCTGGGTTTTTTTTGTTATGATGGATGTGTTAAAAATGGTGTAGTAATTAAAATATTTTATTCCATTGGTTTCCTGTGGGGAAAGGCCCAAGGAACTAATAATTTTGAACATCAAAATGGTAACAATACCGACAGGTTTTTAGGTAAGACACATAGCAACATTAACAACTTTATTCCGAAACGTTTTGCCTCACAGTAGGGTTTTTCAGTCGAATACAGAAAGAGCAGGAACATAAAAGGGGTAAACGATGTAATCAGTCCATCACCCTTAAAGTCGAAATTGAGGTTTTCAGTCCCCGGCCTGAGAAGTCAGTTCCATATTCGGAACTATCGAAGATCAACGACAGGCGGAGCCCTTTAAAATACTGTCGGAAGGGGGAGGGGCAGGTAGTATAAGTAGTAGTATAATTGTGAGGCCAACTGGGGGGCATCCCCCCGATCAAATTTATTAAAAACCCCTTTCCCGGGGGGTTTTTCCGATCCCCTTTAAAAAAGGGCTTTTGTCAGAAAAACATTGGACAAGTTTCGAAAATTGGACGGGGAATACCTCCAACCCCCTCTAAAAATCCTATAAAATCCTTCCACGATTTAACCCGCCCCCTTTGTTTTTTTAATGTTTATAGGGAATTTAACTTTGGGAATTTGCCCCAAATTTTTTTGTGCTGTTTGTTTTTTTATATTGTATTTTGTTTTGATAAAAATATTTAGCAAAGTTTCGGAAAATAAAAATTTTGACTTTATTTTAGTTGCATAGAAATTTTGCACATAATTACGTGCAAAAAATCACGAAAAAGTATACAACCAAAAGGGGGAGTTGAATGATAGCTCGGGTCTTTAACCCCTCAAAAAAGGTCCTTGATGTTGGGGGGGGGCCTTGATTTGGGGAATTTGGGATCTGTGCTCCAGTTCCCCGAATTAAGCCGAATGCCTTCCACCCCCCCCCCCAGTGCGTATAACCCCCTCCGGGTTTTGCGCTTCCCCCCCTTATTAAATAATAATAATAAAAAAATTTCGATACAATTTTTCACATCACGAACTTGAAATGTTGCAAAATTAAAGGATGTTAAAGTAATTTCTTTTAAAAAAAAGATTTTTGCTCAATACGGGGTAAAATCTTCCCCTGAACAAAATACTTTTCTACCTTTTCTGCAACATTGCAAGTTCCTGATGTATTGATTTTAAAAAAGACCTAGACTATCTTCAATTTCCCCCTGAGTTTTGCATATTTTAAAAGAAAGAAAATTTGTACTTTTGATACCTTTACAAAAATAAACTTATTAACAGCCATTAAAAGTTTATTTAGGTACGGTACACTAATACAATTGTCATACATAAAATACGAATATGTGAAAATTTTACCCAAGAAACTCAAAAGCGCTCAGCGCTGTTTCCTTGGGGATGTAAATATAAGCCCTCAAAAAACCGAGGGTCGGGATTTTTAAGACTCTTGATCGGGGTTCTATCCCCCCCCCGGGGGAAAGGTTTTGTTTGCAAGTGTATTATGATTTCTGAGCCTAAGACCCTTAAAATTTTTGATGGATAAAAAATTTGTTAATAGATCAGTAAACACGGGCACATCACGTGGATGTATTTTAAGAACAAAGAATGTAGGAACACTGCGGAGGCCTACGGGCCCAGCGAGGCAGGGGCCTATCAAAACACAAAACCAAAGCTTCCCTAAAAAACTTGCAGTATTTAATTTTAAACCTACTACACAGGTGAAATATTTTTTTCAGTGAAGAATGCAAGTGTAGCAGATGCTTGTTCAGAAAAAGCTTTTTTGGGTAAAACCCCAAAATTTTTTTAGACCCCGGCGCTCAAGAGGGAGCTGACAACACCTTGTCTGACTTTTTGGTTTTTCCTAGGTTCTCTACACATATGCGCTATATATGATAATCTTTTTAAATATCTTGTATAACTGAATAACTTACCTAAAGTCATACCGCCAGCCGCTCTTGGTTTTACATCAGTCGCGGTACCACATAACAACCCCGGTTGATCAAACCCTGACCACTGTGAGGCCTGGTTATGGACCGGGGGCCCCAGGGCATTGACCCTCGAACAAAACCCCCCAGGATACTCAAGATAACCAAAGGGGTTTAAACCCCTGGAAGACGTCCCCCCTGACTTGATGGAACCCCCATGAAGCAAAAAATTGTCAATAAGGGGTCACAAGATATTGTAGATGTCCCCTTTCCCCACATAAAAGTCTTTGAAATGTTGTTGATCCTAACAAAAATGTTGCATCATGTCCTTGTTTGAATTTACCATTCGAAGGGAAAAACTTGACCACCTCTTATGGCAGTTTTTATTGCTAAAACTAAAAAAAAAAAACTAACTTAGGCACCCCATTATCCCTCTTTGTTTCGTATCCTGAACAGAGTCAATACTGGTCTTTTTCTTTGATCATCGAATGTTCTGGAAGCCCCCAAACCTTAAAAAAATTTCCTGAACTGACATTAAATTTTAACCTTTTTTGTAAGGTGCTGTAGGGAAACCCTTGTCACCTACATTTAGCCAATTAAAACAAAACTAACTTTTGGGGACCAAAATTACATCCTTACCTCCCGCTATTTTTTCTTAACCTGATTAATTTTTTTGTCAAGGATTAATTGGTCACTAGCTTTTTTTAGTCGACCTGCATACATAGGCAAATACCCCATTTTTACAAGATAGGTGCGATGGCAAAGTGAAAAATTAATATTTATGTATCGTCTTTTTATCACTGTAAATATTGTGCACAATGGTTTAAAATATGACTTGTCATAGGTATTGCTGGCTGCGGCGGTGTGCACCAAGAGCGGCAAGGCTCTGGTGTCACGCCAGTTCGTTGAGATGACAAAGTCTCGCATTGAGGGCCTCCTTGCAGCATTTCCAAAGTTAATGACTGGTGGGCGGCAGCACACCTTTGTGGAAACAGAGTCTGTCCGCTATGTCTATCAGCCTCTAGATAGACTCTACATGTTGCTCATCACAACTCGTGCCTCAAACATTCTGGAAGACTTGGAAACCCTACGGCTCTTTTCTCGTGTGGTGAGTTGAAATTTACAGGTTATGTTTTGTAGTTTGTCTAAATAGTTACCCAATCATCTGAAAACTAAGGTATTCTTCAAATTAAATTTTCATTTCAAATGCTGTATACCTAACTTCTTTTATGCTCTAACATTCATTAGATAATTTTTTTTTAAATACATGTAATGTATATGCATCTGATTTAATGTGGGCTATTATAAGTATAATTCAGAGGACTGAGAAGGGCCTATTGAAGTAGTTTGGTCCATTTAGAGAAGATGGACCAAAATAGGGTGGAAGGAAAGAGGGGTAGGGGTCATTATTGGATGGGTTGGAGGGAGGGGATAAAGGTTGTGAGTGTTCAGAGCTTGAACATCAACTAGGCATGTTAGATTGGAATGAGTGGATACCAGGTTTTTTGTTTCCTTGACATGCTGTTGTAGTCATTGAATTAACATGCTTTATTTTCAGATCCCAGAATATTGCCGCAATATGGAGGAGAGCGAGATTCTTGAAAATTCCTTCCATCTCATCTTTGCCTTTGACGAGATTGTGGCATTGGGTTACCGTGAGTCTGTTAACTTGGCTCAGATCCGAACATTTGTAGAAATGGATTCGCATGAAGAAAAAGTTTATAGAGCTGTTCGTGAGACTCAGGAGAGGGAGGCTCGAACCAAGATGAAGGTAAAAGAATTTACTTAAACTTACATTTGGTATATTCATTATATTTTATGTAATGCTTAGCAATTTGCAAACGGGCAAAATTATTTACAGACCTCTCTCAGTCCACAGCAGGATTCAAACCTGCACTCTCTGCATCAAATTCAACTCAAATACGTACTAACTGTAGTTTTAGTAGGAAGAGAGGGAGAATGAGGAGACAAACGGAAAGTTTGTATAGAGGTAAAACTGTAATTAGTTTCTTCTTGGTCACCCTGCCTTGGTAGGAAATACAGTGGACCCCCGGTATTCGATATTAATCTGTTCCTGAGAGCTCATCGAATACCGATAATATCGAAAACCGAATCAATTTTCCTCATAAGAAATAATGAAAATCAAATTAATCCGTGCAAGACACCCAAAAGTATGAAAAAAAAAAATTTTACTACATGAAATATTAAGTTTAATGCAATAGAATAATTACACTAACAATAAAATAATTGACACTTACCTTTAATGAAGATCTGGTGATGATTGATGGGATGGAAGGAGGGGTGAGGTGTTAGTGTTTAGAAGGGGAATCCCCTTCCATTAGGACTTGAGGTAGCAAGTCCTTTTCGAGGGTTATTTCCCTTCTTCTTTTAATGCCACTAGGACCAGCTTGAGAGTCACTGGACCTCTGTCGCACAACAAATCTGTCCATAGAGCCCTGTACCTCCCGTTCCTTTACGATTTGTCTAAAATGGGCCACAACATTGTCATTGTAATAGCTGTGTTAGGGTGATTTTCATCCATAAAGGTTTGCACTTCAACCCACTGTGCACACATTTCCTTAATTTTTGAAGTAGGCACAATGTATTCCACAAGTGGTATAGGCTTCTCAGGGTTAGCCCCAAACCTTTCAAAATCTTTCTTAATTTCCATACTAATTCTCACCCTTTTTACCACAGGGTTGGCACTAGAAGCTTTCTTGGGGCCCATGGTGACTTATTTTGCAGAAACAAGCACCAAACACAGTGATAATATGGATAATATGGAATGTACTGAATGTATCCTTAGATGCACGCACACTGGCTGGCTTGTAAACACTGGCACACAAGGGGCAGTTCAGGCCACATGTGGACAGGTCTCATACGAATCATATCGAATACCGGGTTTTCAATCGAATACCGAGGAAAATTTTTTGCAATATAATGCATCGAATACCGGATTTATCGAATACTGATGCCATCGAATACCGGGGGTCCACTGTATGTCATGTCGTCAATTTGTTTTTGTGCATTTATTTTAGTGGGAATGGCATTTGATCTTTCAGAATACAGTACTGTATTTTAAAATAAGCCAGTAAGGTGACTTCTTACATAGATGTATTTTAACCATTAGGAGAAGGCCAAGGAGCTGCAACGAAAACGTTACGAAGAATTAAAGAGAGGTGGCAAGAGCCAAGGTTACTCAGGTGGCAACACTGGAGGTTTTGGCATGTCTGGAGGATTTGGAGGAGGCTCAGGAGGCTTCACAACGCCTACTGAAACCATTACAGCTAACACACAGGTATGTAAATTTCTCTAGGTTGGCAAACTTGCTCCAGATGATTTCCCATTTTTACTGTACTATTTTGGGTGAGGCTGTATAGTGTCTTATAATTTTAATATGCTGAATGGGTTTTAATTTTGAAATGCAGGCAATATGTGTTGCAGTACTGTTGCTGTTAATGAATTTTGTATATGGTTATGGGGATTAATAATTCATGTTTTTTTTTTTTTTTTTTTTTTTTTTTTTTAATTTAGGATTGTTGGGAAAGCAGAGTGATTTAAATTATCATATAATGGTCTAGGTCAAATACTTCATGCCTAAAAATACCAGAATTGTACAAAAATTAAAATAGCACTTGCTAAAAATAATTCTGCTGATGAAGATAGCCAACTGGCATATATGAAAAGGGTAAGGAATATTAATAAGAAATCTTGAGATGGTGTGGGGGGAAGAATTCATTAAGTATATTCTTACACTCAGCATGAGATTGTGGTCAGTGAATGAAGAATAATTAATCCCTTTACCATGGCTGAACAATTTGCACCTCACCCACATTTAGTAGAGGGAAATTTAGATATTTCTCTCTGCCTTGGATCAATATAAGTCCAGATTTGGTAGTGTTGTATTTTTGGTAGTTGTATTTCATGTAAAAAATGGTTTTGTCATGCTGCAGGAGACAAGACCATCTAGTATAAAGCCAGCTGGACCCAACAGAGCCATGAAGCTAGGCAGCAAGGCCAAAGATGTAGACTCTTTTGTGGACCAACTTAAATCTGAAGGAGAGCAGGTTGTGTCTTCCTCAGAACCAGTCTCCAAGATGACACCTGTCAAAACACCCCAAGTAGATGTAGAAGCGTAAGTACCTAGTTCATCTATACTCTAGAGTAATTTATTATATTTTCCACACAGCTATTGTATTTGTATGCCTCTGGCAAAACAGTGATGGTGAAGGCATTTCTTTGTCAACTTGACTTGATAGGAGATGGCCAGCGTGTTAAAAAAAATCCACATGCTAAGTTAGAAACTACATGTATATATATGTTTGTGATTACCTGTAACTTGTTGAGCAACTGCCAGCTTGCTAGAGCTGCATTTCACATCCCATTAAAAATTAAAGGATAATTATATATTGGTGTATACTAAGATAGAGTGGGAGAGGCACTGTCAAGAAATTTTAATGAAAATAAGAAAAAATTTTGGAGTGAGTTAAACAAGTTAAGAAAGCCAAGGGAAAATATGGATTTGTCAGTTAAAAACAGAGTAGGGGAGTTAGTAGATGGGGAGATGGAGGTATTAGGTAGATGGCGAGAATATTTTGAGGAACTTTTAAATGTTAAGGAAGAAACAGAGGCAGTAATTTCATGCACTGGTCAGGGAGGTATACCATCTTTTAGGAGTGAAGAAGAGCAGAATGTAAGTGTGGGGGAGGTACGTGAGGCATTACGTAAAATGAAAGGGGGTAAAGCAGCGGGGACTGATGGATCATGACAGAAATTTTTAAAACCCGGGGGGGATATAGGGTTGGAGTGGGTTTGGGACTTTTGGTTTAATAAATTAAAAAAAGGGAAGGTCCTAGGGGAAATTTGGGGGAGAGCATGTAAAGTCCCCCTTTTTAAAAGGGAAAGGGGGCAAAAGAACTGTAAAAAATTTTAGAGGAATAAGCTTAACTGAGTATACCAGGAAAAGTGTAAAGGTAGGGTTTTAAATTTTAAAGAAATTTGAGGTAAAAACAAAGTGGGATTTGGGGGATGAGCAAGGAGGTTTTAGAGTGGGGAAAGGGGTTGAAAATCAAGTGTTTTTCATTGAAGCATATATGTGAAAATATTTTGAAAAAAAGGTAGGGGGAAATTTTTTAAATTTCATTTTTTGGATTTAAAAAAAGGCATATGATAGAGTTGGGTAGAGGACAATTGGCAGATGTTGCAAGTATATGGAAAAAGGGGGTAAGTTATTAAATGCTGTAAAGAGTTTTTATGAAATGTGAGGCTCAGTTAGGGTGTGTAAAGAGAGGGAGCTATTTCCCCGGGAAAAGTAGGGCTTAACAGGGGTGTTTTAAAGTCCACCATGGTTGTTTAAATTATTTAAAGATGGGGTTTTTTTAAGGAAGTAAATGCAGGGGGTTTGGGAGAGGGGTGGGATTAAAATTTTGGGGAATCAAATTCAAAAAAAGGGGGGGTTGGGCACAGTTACTTTTTTTCTGATGAAACTGTGCTTAAAGGGAGATTCTAAAGAAAAATTGCAAAGGTTAGTGGGTTTAGTTTGGGAATGTGTGTAAAGGGAAAAAGGGTTTAAAAATGAAAAATAGAAAAGGTAAGGTGATGAGGGTGTCAAATGATTTAGATAAAAAAAATTGGGATACCCTTTTGGGAGGGGGAGTAGGAAAAGTAATTTTTCAGATACTTGGGATTAGGGGTCGGCGGATGGATTTATGAAGGGATGGGGTTAATCAAAAATTTTGATGGGGGAAAAAAAAGGTAGTGGTCGTTGAGGTATAGTGGATCAAAAAAGTTATTTTGGGAGGCAAAAAAGGGGGAAAGAAAAAAGTAATAGTACCAACACCTTATAGGGGTTTTGAAGCGGGGTGGAAATCCCGAGCGAGGAAGGGTTTGGGAGGCAGTGGGAATGTCCTGTTTAAGGGCAATTTTTGGGTGAAAATTTATGCAAAAAATTTTCGGAGTGGGAAAAAGGAAAAGGGTTGGAGTTAAAAAAAGTATTAGTCAGAGGGCAGAAGGGGGGTTTTTGGGGGGTTTTGGTCATTAAGAGAATGGTAAAAGTAGAATACAGGAAAGCAATAAACCTTGGGGAAGGAAGGCGGGGTAGGGGTCGCCCTCGAAAGGGTTGGAAAAGGGGGGAAAAGGGAGGTTTTGGGGTGGGGTTTTGGATTTTCCCAGCAAGCGGCGTAGCGGTTAAAAGGATGAAGGGAACAAAGGGTATTTGGGCCCTGACGATCTGTTGGAGGGGCAGGGTAATTTTTATGAAGGGATTCAGGGAAACCGGGTTTTTTTCATATATCGGGTTTTTAGTCCTGGAAATGGGAAAGTACAATGCTGCATTTTAAAGGAGGGTTTGGGTTTGGCATTTTTGGGGGGATATGTTGTGATCTTAATGGTACTTCTAGCGTTGTTTTCTGAGCCCCTCTGCAAAAACAGGATAAGTGCGAGGTGGTAAATTTAAATGTATGAAAAATTTTTCTTTTGGGGGATTTTTTTTTTTTTTTGGGTCACCCTGCCTGGGTGGGAGACGGCCGACTTTTTTAAAAAAAAAAAAAAAAAAAAAAAAAAAATGACCCAACCCTTTTTCCTTCATTAAAGATATACTTTATTTGGGAAATGATCAACACCATATGAAGTAAAATCATTTACATGTTTTTAATTGGTGTGCATCCTTTCTACAGAATACATATAGTAATGTCAGAGGACCTAATTGTGCGAGCTGGAAGGGATGGAGGCTTACAAAACATGGAGGTTCAAGGTATACTCAAATTGCGTATTACAGACCCTGAACATGGCTTCATCAAGGTTCAGGTGAGACTGCTAAAGTTATATTTCATATGGAATTTTGTAAGAATTTATTTCATTTTTATTTTTAGATAAAGTTAGTTATTTGGTCTGAGGATAGCACAGTAGAAAGGCACTCCCAGGAAGTTTTATCTTGAAAAGTACTCTGAGACATAGACAAGGATTTGTTGTTCACAGCTTGACAAAGAATCATGGATAGAAACTTCACCCAAAGAGCCACAAGGATGCTCAGAAACATTTCAGATGGAATGACCTGGACAGTGAAACAGTATAAGGCAACTTCATAATAAAGGGGTTGAAAAGTAGCTTAATGAAAACTGTGTTGATCTATTGAAAGTTAAGAGCTGGAATGTAAACTTAATAGCACACCCCACTCCATTTAATTTATTTATACAGCAACCCTCCAGGGATGTACTGTACTACCATCTTGTCATAAGAGTATGAAACAGAAACCTGTTAAATGTTTTGCACTTTGGCAGGAATATTGGTATTCTTATGAGCTTATATGATAGCAGGTAAATAATGCAAGCTTACACATTCAGTATACACAGCACTTTAATGTCCTTTTCTGTGTGTATCTTATTAGTTCTTATTCTTGTGAGTTTTTCCTTGACACCACTGTATGACCTATGTCGGCTAAGCGCTTCTTTTTTATATACGTACCTATACTAATAATGATTTCTTTCCATTTATGAGTCATAGTCTGAGACTTCCTGGAAGCCGTTAACTTTTATTACTGGAATGAGGTATAAATAAGCAATTAAATTTTTGCAAGAAATAGCAGGTAATAATGTGGTAATTTTTCCTTATAGGTTGATAATACAGACACCAGACCAATTCAACTCCAGACCCATCCTAATGTGGACCGTGATCTGTGGCGCTCTTGTGGACAAATAGGTATGAAGATGTCTAATAAACCATTCCCACATAACACAGATGTGGGTGTACTTAAGTGGCGCTTCCAGACAGCAGACGACAGTCATGTTCCCCTTTCTAGTAAGTGAACATAAGTGACACTCATGGAATGTTAAGGTGGCTAATGTCATAGTAACCCAACTTTAAATTCATGAAGTTTTAAATATGTATTCTCTAAAAAAATGTTATTTTCATATAGTCGGACTTGAGTCCTGGAAATGGGAAGTACAATGCCTGCACTTTAAAGGAGGGGTTTGGGATATTGGCAGTTTGGAGGGATATGTTGTGTATCTTTATATGTATATGCTTCTAAACTGTTATATTCTGAGCACCTTTGCAAAAGCAGTGATAATGTGTGTGTGTGGTGAAAGTGTTGAATGATGATGAAAGTATTTTCTTTTTGGGGATTTTCTTTCTTTTTTTGGGTCACCCTGCCTCGGTGGGAGACGGCCGACTTGTTGAAAAAAAAAAAAAAAAAAAAAAAAAATGTCAGCTAGTGGCACCTGTAATGAACATACCCCAACTGTGGGATTTGATAATGACTGATTTTTTTGTTTTCCCTTAATTGTTCTGGTGCATAAAACATGTTTACCATTTTTTTTTACATACCAAGTAAATGATGTGCAGGGCCGAGTATATTTGATATGCTTGTTTTAATCTGAAATTGAATGGAGTCATATAAGTAGAAATATCAGTTTGCTTTGAAAGAAGTAATGATTAAACAATAGATGATTAAGATACGTGTCCTTTGGTTTTCTTATCAGCAACTGGTTAAATTACCCTTGAGCATTGCTGTTTCTCACAAAGGTAGGGTGACCCAAAGAAGGAAATAATGTGCCATCATTCTTTTATCAAAAGGCATTTTACTAGAAGTGCACAGGCATTTCAATAGATGTTATGGGTCTTTTGTTTTATAATTTTGTGTTTATCCCACAGTTAACTGTTGGCCACAGGAGAATGGTGCAGGAGGCTGTGATGTTAATATAGAATATAACTTAGAGAAGAGAGACATGGAACTTAACGAGGTGACCATCACCATACCTCTGGCCTCGGGTGCACCTCCACCAGTGATAAATGAGTGTGAGGGCGAGCATGAGTATGACCGCACCCACTGTGCTTTGGTATGGCGCATTCCAGTTATCGATAAGGCTTCTCCCACTGCATCTATGGACTTCACTGCACGTGGTGCTCCAGATAACTTCTTCCCAGTGCGTGTGTCTTTCCATTCACCTCGACCATACTGTGACCTCAAGGTTAGTCTTATCTTCATGTTAAACAATGTCATTTGCTCCTTTGTTACAATGAATGGGTAGCTCTAGAGGTAGAAAATGTGTACAGACTATATCAGTGAGGGGCAAAGCAATATTCAAGTATTTTACGAGAAAAGTCCTGCGAGTCATAACTTCCTACCCAACTGGTTTAATACTTTCACTTCTTTCTTTCTTTCAACACACCGGCCGTATCCCACCGAGGCAGGGTGGCCCAAAAGAAAAAACCAAAGTTTCTCCTTTCAAATTTAGTAATATATACAGGAGAAGGGGTTACTAGCCCCTTGCTCCCGGCATTTTAGTCGCCTCTTACAACACGCATGGCTTACGGAGGAAGAATTCTGTTCCACTTCCCCATGGAGATAAGAGGAAATAAACAAGAACAAGAACTAGAAAGAAAATCGAAGAAAACCCAGAGGGGTATGTATATATACGCTTGTACATGTATGTGTAGTGTGACCTGAGTGTAAGTAGAAGTAGCAAGACGTACCTGAAATTTTGCATGTTCATGAGACAGAAAAAAGGACACCAGCAATCCTACCATCATGTAAAACAATTACAGGCTTTCGTGTTACACTCACTTGGCAGGACGGTAGTACCTCCCTGGGCGGTTGCTGTCTACCAACCTACTACCTAGTAATACTTTCACTATTACTATAAAAGTATTATTTATTTTTAATCTTCATTTAGATACTTGTTCCATAATTGTTCTATAGCCCTTGTGGTTTAGGGCTTCTTTTTGATTATAATAATTGTTCCATAATTCCATTAATTAAACTTATTTTATAGGTTCTGGGCGTTGTGAGCACATCGGATGGAGCACCAGTGACGTTCTCTCACGAAACACAACTTAAAACCAACGTGTATGAGATTGACTAGAACTTACTGCAGCTTTTGTTACAATGCACAATTTTGAGGATTTACACTTTAACGATCTTAATTAGTTTTATTTGGTTACTTGTTAGTGCAGAATGTCTGTTGTCGGTGATCATCTTTTTCACTAGGTATCAGACAAATCTGAACATTGTGTTGGTTAGTTTATTAAATTTATAGTTGTCATTGATACATAAAATTTAATATTGCTTTCATTCCAATTCCTTATTTCTTTCATATAGACTTTACCTCCAAGTGTCAATCTTCATAGCTATCAGCTTTATAAACTTTTCCCGAGCAACTGCAATTATTTTCCACTTGCTAAATTTCCTTAGGACACTTGTTAAATTTAAGAATGAGTTTTTTTTTTTTTTTAAAGACATCTTTTCCATTTAGTTAGGGAACAATGTAGTCTGTGGCAAGGAATGGATGAGAATATGGGTGCAAAGAATGTGATGTATGAATTACATATAGTATCTTTATGTAGTCAATACTCTATGAACTTTACCATTGTAAATGTAATTACAGATTTTTTTTTTTGTTGGGGGGGGAGGGGGGGCAGGGCAGGGAGATGAGCTTAAATTAGGACACTGGCTCAATATAGAGGCAACAAGAAGTGGTAATAAAAAGCTCAAATATTCATGCATGATTAAGAAGGGAATAGGCGAGGACAGTTAGAGCATGTGTCTCGCATCTAGCTGATAGATTTGAGCCTCCATCATTTAGTGGTGAATGACCCACCAGGGTTTAACGCTTCACATAGTGAACATTATATACTGTAGTCATGCGTGGGGGGAGACAGTTCATACCTGTTGTTTTGGGAGATGTCATGTGCTGTGCCATTTCCAAAAACTGTATCATTCATGGTTCAGTAAAATAATGGGAGGTTAACAAACATATTCAAAATTTGTTATGTAGTCTTTTGAGATATTTATGTATGCAACAATATAAAATGACATTGATGTATGAGCATTTTATTAGTGTTATTGCCAAACAATGTACAGTATAAAAAAAACCATACCACGGGCGGGGATAGAACCTGCGATCGTGTCATTACGATTTTGAGAGTCATGTTAGCAATGTACAGTATACATAGTAACTGAAATTTTTATTAACCATTGCCAGTTTACTAGGAAAACTAAAGAAATTATAAACCTTGAAAGTGATAGGTTATGTTGGCATACTATTGTTCTCATTATATATATTCTGCATTAAAGAGGTAAGAATTTTTCTTCATATATTATTTCAACCTAGTTAAATGAGTGGGATTTTGTGAAGCGGATTTATTGATTTAAGGATATACTTTGTTTTTTGTTATATTATCATGATAGGCAGGCAAATACTCTCAACCCAGCTGCTCTGCTTATTGTTGATAGCATGGTCATGGCTGATCCAGCTGGAATAGCAACTGCAATAGGACCATTAGTATTATAATCAAAACAAAGCACTAAACCTACAGGGGTCACACTACTACAGAGCAGAGGGTTTTGCTGAATCAAGGAGCAGCTCAGGTAGAGAAAATAGAGGTAGAAATATAAAGGGTCTGTGAGGAGTGTTAAAGGAAGTATCATCAAAGTTTGTGTAGTAAATCAGTTGCTGTCAATGAGGGGGTCCAACAGCAAGGAGGGAACATTAAAATGGTATAAAATACCGACAGGTTGTTAGGTAAGACACATATGCAACAGTTAGGTATCTTTATTATGAAACGTTTCGCCTACACAGTAGGCTTCTTCAGTCAAGTACAGAAAAGTTGATAGAAGCAGAAGATACTTGAAGACGATGTAATCAGTCCATCACCCTTAAAGTTTTGAGGTGGTCAGTCCCTCAGTCTGGAGAAGAGCCTTGTTCCATAGTATGAAACAATATTGTTTCATACTATGGAACAAGGCTCTTCTCCAGACTGAGGGACTGACCACCTCAAAACTTTAAGGGTGATGGACTGATTACATCGTCTTCAAGTATCTTCTGCTTCTATCAACTTTTCTGTACTTGACTGAAGAAGCCTACTGTGTAGGCGAAACGTTTCATAATAAAGATACCTAACTGTTGCATATGTGTCTTACCTCACAGCAAGGAGGGAAGATAAACTAAGGGCGTTAAAGCAGTGACGACGTTGGAGATAAATTCTGCATGCTCAATGATAGACTGGACAATCCAATAGAATATGGCCAACTGAAATTGGAACCTGACAATTCTCAGAGTGGAATAGTGTGCCTCTCCATGAGATACCCGTAAGCAGTGTGTGCCCGATGCGAAGACGGGAGAGCATAGTCTCACAACTTCAACATCGATGACAAGATGATGACCAGAAACCTAAACTTGGTTTGATAAAATGTAATTCGTTGCGTCATATCAGACCAACGTTGTTGCAAAGGTGGTCAGGGATTACAGCAAAAGTCTGTGAATGAAACACCAATATATAAAAGTGGGAGGTCATATACTGCTGAATAGGACCAATATTTTCTTCTACCTTTGTGTAAATCAACCTGGGAGTCTTCCTTTGATTTTTACATATTGTGTGACCATACAACATTACATTCACTCCTGAATATACAGTACCATTGTCAGTTAAATCTAGTTCAGCTGGGCCTGTTATACATGGCCCCATGTTTCAACATTATGCCCTTCAGTTGGTGAGGAGCTCTTGATCTAGGGAACTGGATCTGAGCTCCAGTTCCCTGAATTAAGCCTGAATACCTTCCATCCCTCCCACAGGCACTGTATATTCCTGTGGGTTTAGCACTTTCCCCTTGATTATAACAATAATAATAATTGTTATAATCAGAAAGAAGTGCTAAACCACAAGGGTTAATAATAATAATAATATACCCTTCAGTACTAGACCTTAAGTGCTCTTCACTCAAATTTTGCCTGCTGGAATTTTTCCCCTGCAGTGGAAATCTGTTTTGCTCCTGTTCGTTAACCTTACATGTTGAGCCACGATCCCTCTCACTAGACTCTTATTACTTTAGCTCTATTTGCAAATTATAAGGAACTTATAGCTAACACGAGATGAACAGCGCTTTGTTCTCGACATCAAGGGATGGATACAAAGGCAATTGCTACTATGATCTGTTTACTCCTGTTTGATTTGTATTTGTGATGTCTTTTCTTAAGGTCAGTTTTTAAGGTCAGTTTGTGGTGACAGCATTTTTCAACCTGGGAAAACCATATTGTTAACCAGTGTCTTATCACATCTTGGCCAGGTCCATTCTAACGAACTGCAGGGTCTAATTGCACTTTTCTCAAGGCCTTTATGGCAGTTGGACAATTTTGTATCCAAATCAACACATCTGTTTAGGCCAAAGGTGTTGCACATTATTATTATAATCAAGGGGAAGCGCTAAACCCGTAGGATTATACAGCGCCTGGGAGGGATGTGGAAGGCATTCAGGCTTAATTCGGGGAACTGGAGCACAGATCCAATTCCCTAAATCAAGAGCCCCTCACCAACATCAAGGAACCTTCCCTGAGGGGAAGGTGTTGCACAACAGCATAGTCTTACCCTCGATTCTACCAACCGCTAATGTCAAGCCTCGGTACTACCCAAGGGAATTTTTTCTCCTGTTAATGCTTTTGCCATTGTGTGTGTTGACCTGAACATTTCAGCAGGTGTCCATTATCTGAAGAGTACAGACAACAGCATATCCAGCTGGGCTGTATACACAGCATAACTATAGTCAAGGGGGAGCGCTAAACCCGTAGGATTATACAGCGCCTGTGAGGAGGGGGATGGAAGGTATTCAGACTCAATTCAGGGAACTGAAGCACAGATCTAATTCCCTAGATCAAGAGCCCCTTCACCAGCATCAAGGAACCTTCCTTGAGGGGTATATACTGCATAACTTCAAACCCTCGTTATGTAAAACAAACTTGGGTACACTTACTTGGTGGCCTATTACAGTGGACCCCCGCATACCGATTTTAATCCGTGCAAGAGGGGTCATTGTTATGCGAAATAATCGGTATGCGAATGAATTTTCCCCATAAGAAATAATGGAAATCAAATTAATCCGTGCAAGAGACCCAAAAGTATGAAAAAATTTTTTTTTTTACCACATGAAATGTTAATTTTAATACACACAAACTGAAAAAGGCATGCACACTTACATGACACTTACTTTTATTGAAGATCTGGTGATGATTGATGGGATGGGAGGAGGGGAGAGAGAGTGTTAGTGTTTAGAAGGAGAATCCCCTTCCATTAAGACTTGAGGTGTCAAGTCCTTTTCTGGGGTTACTTCCCTTCTTCTTTTAATGCCACTAGACCACTTCAGAGTCACTGGACTTCTTCGCACAGCATATCTGTCCATAGTGGCCTGTACCTCTCGTTCCTTTATGACTTCCCTAAAGTGTTTTCACAACATTGTCAGTGTAATAATCACCAGCACGGCTTGCAATAGCTGTGTGAGGGTGATACTCATCCATAAAGGTTTGCACTTTCAGCCACATTGCACAGATTTTCCTTAATCTTTGTAGTAGGCAACTTCTTCAATTTCTCTCTCCCCTCCTCTGAACCAGTTTTCTCAGGTCTGGCCTCTTGCTCTTGAAGTTGATCTATCAGCTCATCAGTGGTTAGTTCTTCATTGTCCTCCTCCACCAACTCTTCCACATCCTCCCCACTAACCTCCAACCCCAAGGACTTTCCCCAATGCCACAATGGATTCCTCAACTGGCATAATCCTCTCAGGTTTAGCCTCAAACCCTTCAAAATCCCTTTTGTCTACACATTCTGGCCACAGTTTCTTCCCCAAGCAGAGTTCAAGTCTTCTTAGTCACTCCCTCCCAAGCCTTACCTATAAGGTTTACACAATTGAGGATATTAAAGTGCTCTCTCCAAAACTCTCTTAGAGTCAAGTGAGTTTCTGAGGTCACTACAAAGCACCTTTCAAACAGAGCTTTTGTGTACAGTTTCTTGAAGTTTGCAATAACCTGCTGGTCCATGGGCTGCAGGAGAGGAGTGGTATTAGGAGGCAAAAACTTCACCTTAATGAATTTCATGTCCCCATAAAGTCGCTCTGCCACGTATGTAGGATGACCAGGGGCATTGTCTAACACCAGGAGGCACTTAAGTTCTAATTTCTTTTCAGTTAGGTAATCTTTCACATTGGGGGCAAATGCATGGTGTAACCAGTCATAGAAAAAGTCCCTAGTGACCCATGCCTTACTGTTTGCCCTCCACAGCACACACAAATTCTCCTTGAGGACATTCTTTTGCCTGAACGGTCTGGGAGTTTCAGAGTGATACACTAATAAAGGCTTAACTTTGCAATCACCAGTAGCATTGGAACACATCAACAAAGTAAGCCTGTCTTTCATAGGCTTATGTCCTGGGAGTGCCTTTTCCTCCTGAGTAATGTAGGTCCTGCTTGGCATTTTCTTCTAAAACAGGCCTGTTTCATCACAATTAAACACTTGTTCAGGTTTCAGTCCTAAAGTCTCTATGTACTTCTTGAATTCCTGCACATATTTTTCAGCCGCTTTGTGGTCCGAACTGGCAGCCTCACCATGCCCTATCACACTATGTATGCCACTACGCTTCTTAAATCTCTCAAACCAACCTTTGCTGGCCTTAAATTCACTCACATCAGCACTAGTTGCAGGCATTTTTTTAATTAAATCCTCATGCAACTTCCTAGCCTTTTCGCTTATGATCGCTTGAGAGACGCTATCTCCTGCTAGCTGTTTTTCATTTATCCACACCAATAAGAGTCTCTCAACATCTTCCATCACTTGCGATCTTTGTTTCGAAAACACAGTTAAACCTTTGGCAAGAACAGCTTCCTTGATTGCCTTTCTGGTGCCCACAATAGTAGCGATGGTTGATTGGGGTTTCTTGTACAACCTGACCAGTCGCGATACGCACTCCACTTTCATACTTATCAATGATCTCTTTCTTCATTTCTATTGGAATTCTCACCCTTATTGGTGTAGGCTTGGCACTAGAAGCTTTCTTGGGGCCCATGGTCACTTATTTTCCAGAAACAGCACCGAAAACACTGTAATAATACGAAATATTCCGATTGTATGCTTGGATGTTACCGCGGAGGCTGGCTGGTAAACAATGGCACGGGCGGCACATGTGAGGCTGGCTGAGGGCGCACATTGGACGCGTCTCGGACGAAAATCGGTGAGCGGGTTTTTAAGCGGTATGCGAGGCAAAATTTTTGCGATTAAAGCAAGCGGTATGCGGATTAATCGTTATGTGGTGCCATCGGTATGCGGGGGTCC